AGTCTCTTTGATCGCTTTGTGCCTCAGCGTTAAGCCTTGCATGTCCCTGCTTATGAGGACTCCGCTATCTCTCTGGGAGTCAAAACCTTGTTTAAAAGGGAAATTAAAGCGTGCTTTCTCCCGTGCACAGCTGTATAGTTGTTGCATGGCCGATGTGCTCCCCTGGCCCCCATCCCCAGGCTTACTCAGCTGCTGCCATGCTTTTCATACCCAATCAAGTGTGCACGGGGCCTCCACGCCGGGGCTGTAAAGCCCTCCACAAACATGTGGGAAGAGGCTGGTGCCTATTCAGCGAGCTGCGGCCTAGGCAGCTATCTTTCGACAGATTAGCCAGAGGAATTTATATTGCAGGGCTCGATTGTTCAGGGCCCTCGGCTCCCTTTTGTGCAGGAGCAGTGAAAAGTTGTGTTATGACAATGGTTGACAAAGTGTTTAATGAAAGCCGCGGTTGGCAGGGGCAGAACTTGGAGCCATCCTCCTTTTCCTCCCCCTGCCTGTCATCAAAAGGTGCAGAAACGCTTTTGACACAATCTTCCCCGCTGACAGATGGAGGGGTTTGATGTGCGGCTCGGAAGCCTCCACCTCCCCGAGCAGAACTCAGCCATCATTGGGGTGAGCCACGACCAGGAGCCACGAGTCTGAGTCCTTTGTCTGGCGAGCCAGCCACACACCTCTGATCTCCAAGGCTGGCCAAGTTCCCAACACAGAGCCAAAACTTGTCCATGAACTCCCCGTGTACCCTGCACCTTGCCTGGGGAACCAGGATCGGCATCTCGTGGGGCAGAGAGCTGACTGATCCCATCCGTGGCAAGCACGGCTCGCTGTGTGGCACTACTGTGACTTTTGGGAAGTGGTGCAGAGGCAGGCCCTGTACCTGGTGACTTAACAAGGCTTTCCTTTGAGTCTCTGCCATGCTCAGTGATCCACAGTGCCATTTTCATAATGCCAAATAAAGACAAGCGCTGCTTTCTTATTTAATTAGAGACTGGAATGGGTAAAACAGGTGGCAGAGGGCCCTTCCCATATTGATTTGACATGCTCTTGGTTCCTCATCAGGGGCATCTTAGGGAAGTGACAAGACGGGGGGAAAACCCTACAGTCTGGGATTAGCCAATACAAGGAAGACTTAGTGCATGTAATGGGTAAATAAGTGCAAACACTTCTCATGCCATTAAATCAAAATATGCTTTAATTAAAAACCACAACGTTACACTAGCTTCTGTTCAAACTGTGGGGAGGGAAACAAGCTGACCGCTAGGAACCACTTGAGCTGGTAGCTTCAAAGCAATGCCCATCTGGTTCAGGAGAGCCCTGCTCTGGGATAGAATTGGGCTCTGGATTTTCGGGGCTCTTTGGAGAAGATGCTAAAACACTGATGGCAAAGATTTGCTCAATGAGAGCTGTTGCACTACTGCATGTAGTAGTGCAGTGGTAGTGGGAGTAGTAGCAGTAGTGGAGTATCCATCAGACCGGGGGCTCCACGAGAAGGAACACACTCCGTGTTGTAGCAGAGCAGAAGTGTGACCATTTCCAATGATGGGACAGCTATGCCCCAAGCTCAGCATCGCCATCCAGCCTGTGCTGCTTGGTGTGCAGAAGCTGATCTGGTGGGCACGTTGCAGCCCCTGCGGAGCTCCATGCACTGCCACGCATTTGGGACCCGTGCTTTGCGCTGGGGGAGTGCCGCGTGCACCCATGACCTCAAGTTTCGAGTTCCCTTCTGTATTTGCATTACTGGAACCCAACCAAGACTGAGCCCTCATTTCATCAGCATCAGGCGAACCAAGACAATACCTACCTCGATTTTATTTACAGTCTAAATAGACAAGACAGACAAAGGGTGGCTGTGGAAACAAAAGCTCTGGAGAGGTGATGTGACATGACCCGGTCACACAGCAGGAGATTAAGAGAGCCAGGAGCAGACTGAGGTTTCCTGACTCTTGGTCCCAATGATCTATCTATCAGAGCACGTTAATTCTTTCTCCAATTTGCATGCTGTGGCTGGCATGCCAAATACTGTCTAGTGAAGGGATCTGGGTTCTGGGAAACACGTCCCTTGCTTACTAATGCTGCAGGCAACAAATTGCTGGGCATTTTAATGCGAGTTAAAATACAGCAAGTCTCAGAAATGGAGTAAACTGTTTATTTTGGTGTTTCTATTTTCAGTTCTCCTGTTTATTTTGCACTGACACTATTACTGTGTTTCATTTCCCCCACCGATTTTTTGAATGGCATATTGTATGTTTGGTGAGGACAGATAGAAATTGGAGTGAGTAGCATGGGGCAAACTGAGATTTGGGCATACAAGGTGGACTTCACCTGTATTTCTGTAGCAAGCACTGGAGAGTCTGTTGGAGTAGGCAAAATACTGCTGTGCTCTCTGAAAAGCTGCTTGTGCAATGGCTTTGATGTTCAAACTTCTCAAATAGCAACAACAATAATCAGAAAGTTGCTTTGGAAGATGTTAGACCATGGCCATGAAATCCTTTAATCTGCTAAGACTTTTGTTTTTTTCACTTTTGAGCTTTTGAAGGTCATGTCAGCATCACTCAGTGTTTGAGCATGGGCTAAGCCCGGGATCTGTTCCCTTTGACAAGTGTGCAGCTGATCAGTTTGGTGCCTGTGATCCTCAGTGCTTGGGTTGTGAAATAGTCTCTGAGCTTATTGTGGGGGAGTGTTTTGAGGATAAATATTTTCCCTTAAAAAATGCAAAGATTTGCAGCAATAGAAGGCATAGAAATACATTAAAACAGATGGATTCAGGCTAGCGCCATGGCTGCATTTTCTCCCTTGCAATATGTTGCTAATATTTCTGTGTCTGCTTAATTCCTACTGTGTTGAGCCTATAGGACATTACCTGTTATATTTTCTTTTTTCGCCTGTATATCAGACAGGACAAGCTCCAACCTGATTTTGCTGTGTGGTTTAAAAAAAAATAGTAGTAATGTAATCTGTGGGCAAATTGCACTTTAATTCGTAATTGTGCTATGAATACGGACTTGGCTTTCAAACGCGCTCCGAGTTTAAACTGCAGTTTGACTTTTATTTAGACAAATGCCTTTGAGTTCATAGTGAAATGGATATCTGCTGTAGGCTGGTATTGATTTAAAGGTCTCTTGAGTGTTTTAAAAGACGGTAGGGGCTCATAGGACAGCATATTTTAAAACTAGATGCTTGGTTAGGTTTTATACTCCTATGTTGCTTTAGGCCTAGTTTCCGCTAAAGGAATCCTGCGCTGGTGATTTCTAGAGCTTTCTTTCACAGCAAATACTGGCCAAAAAAATGGTACGTTTTGGGTAAGATGCAAGGTATTTCTGAAGTGATGGGGAACAGCTCATGCAGAGAACTACCGTGTGAAGGGGAATGCTTTGAGGACTTCCCATAAAACGTGTTGTGGAAGGGCAGGTGATCAATAACTGCTTTTTAGCTCGAAAGAGACGTTTATCGCTTCCTGCTAAGCACACAAAGTTGGTGATCTTTCAAGTCTTGGCACTTGCAAGTGTCGCTGTAGGCCTGAATTTTCCTCCTTGGGGTGCAATGGAGCACATTGGGCAGGAGGCCCCTGCGCCATGGCAGCTGCCCTCCTGTCCCTCACCTCAGGCCCACCGGGGCGGCCCTGTAGATTTGGGGCCTGTTCAGGCTCCAGGCCCGCTTTGGGTACCGTAGGCACAGCTTTAAAACAGAGAAAATACACAAAGCGGGGAAGGTTGGCCAGTTTTCCAGTCAGACTGGCTCGGTGGTTTGAATAAGCAGCTGAATGTTTGAGGGCTTATCTAAAATCAGGCCATGAATCTTTTGGGTCGTGTTCAGAGGTGCAATAAGAGGGTGTAACCTCCCTGCAGAGGAGACAGGAGGGTTGAGTTTTACCCAGGATAATATCCTAGAGCAGGGTGTGGAGCAGGATGAAATTAAAGCAGGTCCCCCTCACAATTTTCTCGCAACTCCTTGCGGTTGCTTTCCTTGCTACCGCCCATCAATTTGCCTCCTCCCTCTTTAGATTACACACTCACAGTAACATGCCAACACTGCATACATCACATTAATTAGGACACTTGTTAATTTCTGCATCATTAGTCACTTGGTCTTAATTGATCTGTGCTCTCCTGTAAGTCCCCAAGTGCAGGTTTGACCTGTGTGTGGTGTGCTGACAGGGTGCCTCTTGCAGGGGACTTGGCTGTTGCAGCAGAGCACAGCAAAGGTCTTGCTTTTGGTGTTGCTTTCTTGCCACTTTTAGCATTATTTTGTTGGTTCAGCTCTCCCCAGCCATCCTTGCAGTACATTTTTTTTCCAGAAGCCTGTTATATTTGCTCTCCCATCAGGTTGTTTCCAGATAATACAACCTGTGCCTCAGCAAGGTGCTATAACCTGATTTAGACGTGTGCTGTCTGTAGTTCGTGGGTTGGAGTTGTTGAGGTACAAAACCTGTAGGGCTGTGACCAGCTGAAAGCTGTTATCACTGATGCTGATGACATTGAGTGGCATACTAATGACAGCTTGTTAGAAAATGTAAAATATATTTATGTTGACACATAGGAAGCGTACCTACCTATATGTGTGTTTTGTTTGTATGGGATACACAGTGGTACATAAAACCACCCTCTGTAATGATAGCTATAAAATATTTAGGATAAGCTTTTTTTGATTGTTTCAGTTCAGACTTCAGTCTGTCAGGAAATGTCCTATTCATCTGTAATTAGTTGTGTGGTTGTGAATAACCAATAGAAGGATGATAATGTAATTGCCTAATATAAAGACAAATTAACATCACACTAATGCAAAAGAGCATAAGGCTTAGGGCAAGCTAAATAACATTCTGATCACAGAACTAAAGTAACTCATATTCAGCAGAAAAGTGCTGCCCTACTGTGTTTAAGTACTCTTAAAATAAAAAACCCCACAACCTACCAATTCCCAGTGCAATCCAGAATAATTGTGATGAGTGTGTTTTGCTGAGTACAGTGGCTGCGCGATGCTCATCCTGTTCTCTCTTACTTTAACAGAAACCTGAGCTACAACAAGTTGACGGAGATTGATCCTTCTGCCTTTGCAGAGCTCTTGAACCTGCAGGAAGTGTAAGTATTTAACTGTAAGTCTTTAGTTTTATTTTGCAAGGGCAGCTTGTTGTACTGCAGGAAACTGTATATAGTTTCCCAAGAAGATATCTGCCTTTAGCCAGTTTGACTGAGCACATCTGGCTTGGTGTGGAGTTTTTTCATATTGTACCTGTGCTGCTTTTTTAAAACTAATCAATTAACAAACACAACAACCAATTAAAGCAGCGTAGCTGTTATTGGAAATCATTGGTGTTTGCTTCCCTCTGTCTTGTGCAATGCTCTGAGGGAGCAGTTCAGCTAACACACCTGTACACACACACAAAGCTCCTTGCTGAAAGGATAACCCTGAAGCAAGGCAGAACAGCCTGGATTGTGATATCTGATGCCAACCTAACCCAAATCTCCCAGGAAACAAAGGTGTAGTGTAGTGGATAACAAAGCACTTAACTGTGTCTCCTCCTTTCTTAGACATTTGTATTCCTTTTGGAACGAGGACAAATTCTGTCTGAAGTCTGCTAGGACAGCCTAAAAACAGCAGAGCTGTCTTCTGCTGTGGTGGGGGAAGAGGAGCCAGCGAAGGCTGGCTGGAACAGGTCCCCTGGCTGGTGGAAGGAAATTTTGCTTTGGGGAATGAATGGCAGGGTGTCCTGCCTCCTGACCTGCGTAAATGCTCAGCAGTTGCGCTCGCAGGGCTGCTGTGCTTGTCAGCTATTTGCAGCAATTTCTGGAGCTCTGATTTTGGGTTCTGAAAAACGAAAGTGACTAAAATTGTAAGCGGTGGGTTGAGGTAATGAGCTCTCATTTGAATGTTGAATTGCTGGCATACTTGAGGTTTGGGCTGTGTTTGAAGAGCTACTGATGCCTCATGGGAAACTGAAAAAACATTTCCTTTCAGAAACAATGCTGTGCTCTGTGTATATCGTTCATTTTCTCTTGTCCTTTGTCTGTTTTCATTAAGTGTTGGCTCTGGGGCTTGCGGAGGGGCCAGATCCTGTGATCCTTAAATAGGCAAAGCAGTCTGCAGCAGTGGGAGCTCTGCCTGCCTAATGCCTGCCGGATTGGACTGTGGGGATTAATGCAATGTATCTCCACCTGCCTGATTGCGTGTGGCTCCCCTGCTTAAACAAACAGCAGGGACTTGCTGGGGATCGTGACAAAACAAGGAATATGCATGGGGAGTGAGCACAGTGCTCAGGTTCAGCTCGTTGTGATTGCCTCAGAGAGCAGGAGGGGAGGGAAAAGAAAGTGATGGAGGTGAGCAAACTGTTGCCTATGGGACCTGTCTTCTTTAAACTGCGGAAAGCCTTAAATTGCTCTGTGCTTAGAGAATAGAATCACAGCCCTGATCCCATGAGACTTTCGAGTTATCCTAACATGATTGTGGCTTAGCAATAGCTTTTATTTGTGGAAGTGCCTGCAGGTGTGTGACTGGGAGCACGAAGCCGGGAGATTTGTATGGCTTCTGGTAGGGAGCCCCCGTGTACAAAGTGCTGCATGCACTGAGGGCAGGGTGGGCTCTGCACTGAACATGAAAAGCGTCAGGGTTTGGGGGAGGTAGGCAATGCAGCCTGAGGAGTGGTGGTGCGGATAACAGCAGCTTGCTGTTAGAGAGGCAGGGTAAGGGAAAAGGGAGGCAGTGGATAAGTGGATAGGAGGGAGAGGGAGCAGTCAGATGGGAGACAGAAAGGGAGGCAGAGGTCTGGAGCAAAGCCTGGAAGGCAAGCTCTGGAAAGTGTGAGGGAGAAGCTCTATTAAAAGCCCTATCTACCAATCTTGGTTGCTTTTGAATAACAGCTAAACCACAGACCACTGAAATAAACTGCGTTTCACAAAGAGAACCACATCTGTACTTCCAGAGCATCTCTTTCTGAGTTTTTAAGCACTTTACAAACATTCATGAAATAAGCATCATGCTGTGGCATGTCTTGAGAGCAAGTCAGTGTTTTGCTGTGCGCGCTGTGCTGGGCAAACCAAGTCACCCTCAGGGAATGAGATTGCCCCAAATAATAGATGCATTGATAAGACCTGAAACCTCCCATGATGCTTCAAACATGGAGCCTCTGATTCCTGAGCGTTACAGATGGGGCTCAAAGCTCTGCGTGTGTGTGAATAATTAGTGCCATATATTTTGGAAACTTTTTGTTTGCAGACATTTTCACAAAATTCAGGGAAAAATGGAGATCTAAAGCTCATAGCTTATCTTGCATGCACTGTTTTGCTTTGCTAAGATTGTAATGAAGCAAATAGTACATAGGCAACTGGCTTTTTTGATTGTTTTTAGAAGCTTTTTTTTTTTTTTCCTTGAACTCTCATTTTGTGCAGGAGGCAATTCAGTAGCTCACAGTGATACAAACCTCAGGATCTCATATACTCAGGAATACGTAGCTGTGTGCTGGTGAAAGCTCAGGTAGAAGAGGCTGCAGCAGGATGTTACCTCCCTCATTCAGGACACCTGTAGTTTCTCCCATGTCCCTTCCATGGTTCCCTTTTAAAGACGCCCCAATCTTGTGCCTTGGCTGCAATTATAGGAGGGGGATGTTACTGTGGGGCAGCCCTTTTGTCCTTTGTGGGGTTTTCTCAGGTCATATGGGATCCATGAGAGTGATGGTTACAGGGCTCTCAGGTTTTCCAAGCTCATTTTGTAACAAAGAGGTAGTAACTGTGCTAAAATTCCTCTACAAACAACTCACCTTTTATTTTCTAAAGTGCCTTTCACTGAAAGCTCTGGAGAGCTGTGCTATTTTTGAGCAGGCTCCATTTCAGCCTGACACCAGTCTGGCAACCGGGCTAAATATTTTATACAGGTGGTCCCCTCCTGCCTTCCCTTGCCATTCAGGGGCAGCAGGTTTGTGTCCTCCAAGGAGAAAGGAGAACGTTTAATTTTGTTGAGCTTGGTTGTTCTGTTCTTTGTTTTTACTATTTTGTTGCTCTTCCATGGGGGAAGGGGAAAGAGGAAAGGGAAATCCCAGAGAAATTCAGAGCTTGGCTGTCTCCTCTGCATCAGCAACTGGTGACTGTAAGCCAAGAGAAAATGAGGTGGGAGAGCTGCTTTCTGACTGCACTGTTTAACCGAGAAGGACCTGATAGAACACTGATAGTTGAAAGATCACACTTACGTCAGAGGAGGGTTTGGACACTTGTTAGATACTGTTTGGTGTTAGAGCTGCACAACCAGAGCTGGCCCAGGCTGTGGAGCCTTGGGCTGTGGGCCCAATTCTCTGTCCCCTTGTGTGGCTTTCAGAAAGATGCTGGGCTGGATGTTAATGTAAAATATGCATCTCAATGCTTTTTCCAGCCTGCTTTGCACTGTCGAAAGCTCTAGACCTTTCTGTGGTATCAGTAACAATGAGCTTTTAGTTGTGAAGTAGAGCTCCTTGCTGTATTGCAGTGCCTCCAGCTCTTTTCCCTTACGTTTTAAGGTAGGGTTATAATGTCAGAGGCAGAGCTGAGGCTGAGAAAAGCTTTTATCCCAGCAGTACCTGGAACTCCTCGTGAAATCAAATACAGCTCCTGCTCTCGGAGGAGTCAGGAGGAAGTTCTGCCATAGATGCATCACTGCCCTCTCCGACCCACCAAAGATATTTTTCAAGTGCCAAAAAAAAAAATCCCCGAACAAGACCAGAATTTAGGATTGCCCCAACTCATGCCCGGGGTTTAGCACCCCTCAGCTGCACCACATTCCTCCGCTCTTGCTTTGTGTTTGGATGCATCTGGATGTGATTTTTCAGGATTTCCTGGGAAGGGGTGGCTGGGGAGCATGGCCCGCGAGTGTCGGGGTGCTTTTGAGCCTCGTCTGTGGAGGGAAAGGGAATAGTTTTAAGACAAGCAGAGGGCAAAGACATGGCAAGGCCCTGCTGATCAGCACAGCTGGGGGCCCAGGGAGCTGCCACCCTGCCCAGCTCTGTCTGGAAGGGGCTTGGGTTTAATGGCTTCAGCATGTGGAGGTGGGGGGGCAGCAGGATGGCTAAGAAATTAGGTAATTTTCAAGCAGCCAGACAAGCGACTGTTACAGTAATTAATTGACTAATTCACCGTACAAACAAGGGCTCTTTAAACCAAGGAAGAGCCGGTCACATGGCGAGGATCTGTTTTCAGTCAGAAAAACACTTCAAACATTAGGCCATTGAGGGGGGACATTTTTGTAACCACCTTTCCAGGAGCGGGGCCAGTCTGCAATTGCTATTAGTCCTGTGGGGCCGCTGGGGACTGGATGGAGCTGGTCACTTGGGTTTGGTGGCCTTTTGGTGCCCAGTGCCAGTTTTTGCATGTTTGTGGCCAGTTCTGTGGGGCTGCTCCCTGTGGGATTTCCAGAGCCAGGCCTGGCGCAGGGAGGAAGCAGTGCGGCCTGAGGGCCGCCATGTCACCCCCATGGCCTGGCCGGGCATGGAGTTGGTGGTGGGAGGGGATGCAGAGTCTGGCTTGGTTAAAGAAGGTGTTGTGGGAACGGTTGTGGAAGCTCTCATTTAGTTATTAAAGAGTTGGAATGAAGATGTGAAACTCAGATGCAGATAAACCCCTTGTGATGGAGACCTCTGCCAAAAAGCTGGTGTTCCCGGTGGGTCAGTGAAGACAGATGCCTAACTCATGCACACCTCCTTGTAGGCTTCTCGCTTAAACGATTAATTTCTTCTTGTTGCAGGAGACTGAACAACAACGAGCTGACCACCATTCCCTCCCTGGGACCTGCATCTTCCAGTGTCCGTGCCCTCCACCTGTGAGTTGCTGTGGCCTCATTACTTTTGTCTTTCTGCTCCTGTTTGTGGGGTGGATGTAACTGCTACTCAGAGTTTCGTGTGTCACACCCGCTTCTGCTAGCTCTTCAGATTTCGCTATCAGGCTTGATACCTTAATTAAGAAACATCTGGAGTTGAGATTTGTGAGATCGTGTGTGATAAACGTGCTGTTCTAATACAGCGTGTACACGCAGGGCACAAGATAATGCTTGCAGGCTGATTAGAAATCTGCAAACTCTAGTGCAGATCATTTCTCTGATACTTAATTTTATGGAGTGATTCAAAGTAGGCAACCATAATGTCCATCAGTCAGCACAGCCAAGTCTGTGTAAATGTCTCTAGAGTTTTAAAAGTCACTTCGGTGCCAGTCTGGGTTTCTGCATCTGGCTGGAGTGGAGCTGTCTGGGATTTAGCAAATTTTAATTGATTTGAAATATCACCTTTTGGCCTGCATGTCAGCAGAACCCCAATGAAAAATGATTATAGCTGTGATTAATATGAAGGGTCCATTGGATGGTGTCCTGTCACAGATAAATACAGTGGGCAGTGCTTCCATACAGCCTGTGGAAATGTCATGATGGGCAGCCATGGAAATAGTTACAGAATAAGATGCTCCTAGCAGAAATGCACATTGAAGTTGCACATTGTCATTGTTGCATTCCTGCTGATGGAGGAAGGCAGAAACTCTTTGATGGTTTTGTTATTTTTGTGATTGTACTCGTTTGTCTCACTAACACTTCATCCGTTGCCTAACCATTGAAAACTTATGGTCAGTGGTAACTTTCGTCACTGACTTCCACAGGTTAGTCACGTACTGAGTAAAAATATTTTGTTATTCTTCGTTGTCTGATTTTGGATTTCAACCATTGTCTCGTAGTTGTACTGTTAAAGAAGTATATAATTTTACCTTTTCTTTATTGATTTTTCTTTTTTTCTCCTGGTGCTGTGTTGGTTATTTCTTTTTACTTAAAGCCTTCATGTCTTAATCTTTCAGGGAACTTATTCCAGACCCATTTTTATGGTCTCTTTCAACTTTTTTTTTCTTTGAGAGAGAGAGTGATTGGTGATTGCAAGGCTAGGTCTGCAGAAACTTTGAAGTTGCTAACTTCAGTAGTGTAGGTGCCTGCAGAAGTGTTAGACACCTGAGAACCCTTGTACATCTGCCACCAAGGATCTCAGGTTGGGGACACTGCCGAAGGGAATAAAGACATAATATCAGACTTCTTAGTACCTTAAGAGTGTGGATTTCTAAAATTATTTTTGCATGTGTCTGCTTGTAATGCACACCAAGAAGGAATTTTGCTGAGGTATGCATGATACCTCCCAAGTTCCTGGGAAGGGGAAGTGCTTATAGCTAATATGGCATCCAGCAAAGAGCCTGAGCAGTTTGAGCGATGTCTTCCATTGTGCATGGCCTCGAAGCATCCAGCTGCAGGCAGGTGTCCTGCCCCTTCGTAGCTGCAGTGGTTGGGCACCTCCTCATAGTGGAAAGTGCCAGTATGCCTTCATGACTTGAAAGGCTCTGAATTACTCCAAGATAACCTTGATCAGTTGGCTAGAAGTACATTCCTATTACTTAAATCAAGGACAGAATTGACTGAAATGAATTGGCACCATTCCTGCTTTTCCATTAGGCAGTGTTAAAATATGCAAAGCAGAAGAACTCCTTCATTCCCTTAATTCAGTTTAAGGATCTGAGCTTAAAGTTGGCATCCATCTCTCTCTCCTGGCATGAAGCAAGTTTTGCTTTCATTTGAGATATGATGCCTTTGATCTGGTTCTTGGGCATGGTGTGTTCCTACAGAGCTTACAAAGAGCCAAAGTATTCCCGTGCTATCAGCAGCGCTGAATCTAGCGAGTGTCTTTCAGTTTAATTGGTACGTAACCACTCCACCTCCTGGGTGGAGGGGTGGCTTGTGTCTCAGCAGTTATCAGACCTGTCGAATGTGTCGCATGCAGTTGGTGTGAAACCAACTTGTTTGATTTCTGCCTCCTGCCGCAGCCTCTCCGTGCTCGTGTGACCGCATGTGAAGCCTGCGTTCGTGATCTGGGGGCTGCTGGCTGCAGCGCCGTGCAGTAACTCCCTCCAAGCAGGGTCCCTTGTTGAGGCACCGTCCCCTGACATGAGGCCATCTGCTTGCCACTTGAGCTGAGCTCACCGAATTGCTGCATAACCCAGTGTGTAATGGCTCAGCTCATGCGCTGGGATTCCAAGACTTCAGAGACCTGATTTATGGATGGAAAGCTCGCATTCAATTTGCCATCCAGGATATAGTTTTTAGGCCCTTCAAAACGCCTTTTCTTTCTCACGAAGTCTATAAATGATCTAATTTTCACAAGCCCCTGTTGTTATTTTTGCTATTAATTTAGCCTTTGGCAAAGGACCAAATTGTTAGAGCTTTGCCTTTTTATTCCTGAAACGAAATAAGCGGTTGGAAAGGAGTGACACTGACTGGTGGAAGGCAGCGGATTTACGTCTCCTCTGAAATTTCAGAGTGGTACAGAAGGAAGGGGAAGGTACAAAGCCAAATGATAAAAGGACGGTACTCTAAACAGACCTGCTCAGTATCACTTTCCAGAAATCTGTATTGCTTTCCTCAGCTGCTACACATAAATAACTCCGATAGTGGGATTTGTAATGCTGCTGTCATACCTTAGCAAGAAGGATCTCTTGTTTAGCTTATTTCAGAGAATGCCACACTTTTTTTTACCCCTGCGTTTCCTTTTATTTTTTATCAGAGGTAAAAATCTGAAAGGTGTTTTAAAATACCTGCTTTAATTGATGTTGCTGACTAACTTGCATCGGAATGATTTGCTGAGGAAGTGAGGCTTTCTCCATCTCTGAGAGTCTTTAAATCAATTGGATGGCTTCCTAAAAGATGGCCCTTTGGTTCAACTCCAGGTTAATGGGCTCGGTACACAAAGTGTTGGGGAAAGTTCTCTGGCCTGGTGTGATGTAAGGAATCGGATTATATGATCATACTGGTTCTTTCTGGCCTTCACATCCATGAAGTAATAATTGGGGAGGTTGCCAAACCAAACCCAGGGTGAAGACTCATAATGAGGACTGTGTACTGAGCAATTGGTTTATGTTTGAGTATATAGTGTTACAGTGTATTCTTACTGCTAAAGAAAAATAAATACATTTCCTTTTTTTTTTTCAGTGTTTATAAATGTGTGAAGTGTGTTTACCTCACAAACCTCTGAAGTAGGTTTTGTATATTGCATGTGGTTAAGTATTTCCAAAGGGCTGTGAATGTATTATAAAAGCAGTGGTTGTATATTTGTCACTCAAAACGGTCCTTGTGAACAAGTTGCTTCTTTTCCAGCTCTTCCTAAGCTGGGGAAGAGACTTTCAGTCCTCTTGATGCTGGGAGAAAGAAACTGCATGCTGCCAAACTCAAATATAAGCTCTTTTCAACGAGCTTGGTCCCTTTGCATTACCTATTTTGGGGATCCCTATACCTGTCTTCATCACTCCAGATTTGCTTGACCTCGTGTTGTGGACCGTGGGCTGGTTATGCATATGCAAGCATGTGGGAATCTGTAGGGGAGAGCATTCTCAAGCCTTACTGCAAACCTTTGGATGTTTCAGGCTGCAGATGGATGCAAGGATGACATATGCATCAAACATGCTATGCCTTAACATACTGCCATGAAGTTTAATTCGGCTTAATTATTCCTTGAAGAGTCAGTTTGCCTCGCATGTTGAAAATACTGCCAAAGTCGTTCATCTCAACGAGAGCAAACATAAGGGACTTGATAAGGCTTTTAATAGAACAGGAGGGAAAAATAATCTATGTACTGGTTACCAAATAAAGACAGACATTAAATGCAAACATCTGTTAGTGCAAACAAAAGCCAGGAAATTCAGCTGGGAGGGGGAGAGACTGTGAATCTGGATTCATTCCGAAATTACATCGGAGTAGCTGAGAGGAGAATCTTGCCTGAAATTCCCACAGCATTTGTAATTTAGCTACAGTTCCTAGACTTGGACGTTTGGGAGTTGATGGCAGGATGTTTTCACTGACATGCACTTGGCTGAGGATTTCCCTTCCAAATGTTCTGCTGCAGCTCAAGTGTGTTAACTCTGTAGGCTCTTGAGAGGACTTTTCTCAAGCTGTGACCTGATCTGGGGGGGGGGTAGAAGAGGATGGATGAAATCATTTCTTTAAAGCAGATCTGAATCTAATTATTGACTTCAACTTCCCGGCCAGCTTGAGTGGAGAGCCTCTAACCTTGCTCGTGTGGAGGACGAGAGGAGGAGCTGAGCTGCGATCAGGGCTGAAGGACTTTTGGGGCGGCTTCAGGGGCCGATGGGGGCAGATCCTCATCCTCTGCCCTGGCTTTGAGGTGGCCAGCCTGATTCATCCTGATTCACGGCCACAGGCACGGGCTGCTGTGCGGCTGGAGAGCTCGGAGCAGAGCCTGCTAACCAGAGCTCTGAGCAAGCGTGGTAAACAGCGAGGAATTGGCTGGCGAGGAATTAAGGAAGTTAACAGATTAAACACTTAAAAATAACTTTCGTTTCTTTCACTGCAAGTCTTTTAAGCCCCCAACCATTTAGGAACAAAAGGGATGGTGACCCACGGCAGTCGCTGTGTGTAAGCAACGGCCAAAGCTGTCTGAGGTGCTCTGGCCCCATGATCTCGCTGTGAATAAACACAGATAACAAGGAAGTCGGAGCAAGGATTTTTTTTTTGGAGCAAAAGAGTGTGAAATAGGATTAGCTGATTCACAGAGGATGCAGCAACACTCTGTGCCTATTTACTGGGGAAAGCGAAATCAATAGGACCACTCTGCTGCCAAACTGAGCATAAAAGTCTCTTGAAGAAAATCAATCTTCCTTACAGGCTCATTAATGTAAAGATCAATTCACATTAAACTGTAATTAAACAGAGAGGGCTAATAGGAGAAGGGTAAATGATCTACTGTGCCACAGGCGAAATAGATCACATAAAACTGAGAACTAAATAGGTGG